GTTTTGTGGAAGAGAGAAAGAACTGGTGTTGATTTCTGTTGATTCCCCCCCCCCCCAACATCAGTGATTCTACGGCTTTTAAACGTGAAGTGGACTGTTTATCTGAAAGTGTGCTGGCAGACTGCCACCATATTTCTAAGATTAAAGAAAGGATTGAAAACAATCAGCTTTCCGAGGAACTGAAACCACGACAATATGTTTCTGATTAATTTACAAATATATGTATATATTTAAGGCTAAACTACAGAACCAGAAAATTCCTACTAGTTAGTCTATCACAGGCATTCTTACACTTAATTAGAACAGACATCATATTGAAATAATAAGCATGGGAGGCCTTCATTTCTTCTTTGATCTATATTACTAAATGTCTGACTGGCTCAGATTTAAAATAAACTTTGGTATGTTAGCACTTGAAAACTGGAAAAAGACCACAAGTAATAATTTGTTGTCAGTTTCCACATTCTCTAACTGAAAACTGTAGTTTCGCCTGTACACTGATGAATGCCAGGCAATGTTAGTCCAGTCACCCTTGCAGTCGCTAAACTTTCTTATAGGAATATACTCTAGTATGGTAGCAATGATGATAGATCACTTCGTCATCATGGAACTAGCTGAGATGAATTAAAGGTACAGGTCACGGCTTTACCTGCTTTCCACATCTCTTGCAGGTTAGTGTCATTATGGCCTTAAATACACAGGTATGTACTGGAGTAACATGGAGCTCCTTTTTTCTCTGAACATCTAAGGGTCATGATTTCATGATCTAAGCCCAAATGCATCACAAATGTGAAGGCAAGATTTTAAGCTATTTACTGATGGCTCTTCAGTGTGACTTTAAAGTATTTTTACTGTATAAATGTTGTCTATTTGCTTCCAATAAATTAAATTATAATAAACAGTAGTGTTTAAGTGCCATCTATGCCCAGCCTAGTAGGGTTTGGTTCTATACTTAAGTGTTGATATATATGTAGGTAATAATTTTACTCAGATTAAGGTGCAGGTTGCAAAGTTTCATATAAGATTAGTTTATTTTCTTATTTAGAAAGCTGAATTCAGAGGAAGGAGCACAGAATGGAGTTTCTGATCAGGAAGTGAAAGAATCTCAATTATTCACTCTTAAAAAGCATAACGAGTACAAAAAGCTACAGTTTATTACAAATGGCAGGATTAAAGAATACACTGACATTGTTTTTTCTCAGCCTATTAAAAGCATTTGTTAATTGTCTGTTTAAACACGGGTCTTGGTAGCATATGCTCATAATGCTTATAAAAAAGGAAAGAGCTTTGAAAATCTCACCACCTCTAAAAATTCCCATTCTATTGAGCATATCTCATCACTTTATTGCCAAGGTAACCATGGGAATCTCATGAACTCTTTGGTGCTACCGAATGGACAAATAACCAGTGCCGCAAAACACCTAGTCCTCTATCTACAAATGATAAGACCACGCTTCAGACACAGGACTGAGCTCTAAAATGGATGCACTCCTGATTCTATGTGATGACTGCAACTCATTTAGGAAAGAGAAACCATTTAAATTCCAGAGGTTTTAGAATTCAACAGCAACAGGAAAGTTGCTATGGGCATATTTCCCTGACAGACTATGCATTGGTCTCCATTTAAATCTTGGTCCTAGCTATCTACAACATCACCCATCTCATCACATCACAAACTTTTTGATCTCTTAACCATCTAACACTACCTAAAGTGGTGAAGGAGAAGAGGGACTTTCACATACGGAATTGCAGAACCAAGATTACTAAGCGTGCATTTGGAAAAGATTAAGGGAATCTCCTGGACCAAAAGCTTTTCGAACTTTCATTAAAGCTTACCTGCTCGATCCAGCTCTCCTAGAACAAATATCCTTCTCTGTTATGTGCATACATCCTTCCAGGCACATTGTAATAGTTCTCAAGCATTGATGCTAACATTCTAAGCAGAAAGATTGTTGTTATATCTCTGTTAATTCCTTGAGAAGACCACTCATATTAAAAATGGTGAGAACTAAAACACCTGGACAGACAGACCGAGCTGAAGAATCAGAGTTACTGTGAATGATCTAACACCAAACACAACAGTGCTCAGTAGCCCTGGAGCTTCCCTATCATTAAAGGATAGCCATACTTACTACTGGATAGCATAGAACTGATTTGAGCCATATTCTGCTAGTTAAGCTGAAACAATAAAAATTAAAAAGCAGAGCTAGACTAGATATGGCCCAAAGGCCTAAACACCCTACATCTGCCATATTCCTGACTCTTGCTGGTCTGACGAACAAAGGACCAGGAGGACCCACTTTTCCATGTTTTGCCACTTGAAAGACATCAGGTAATGCATTCAAAGAGACAAGCTGATGTGCTAAGGAAGTTCAATATACATGAGAGGGTGGTTGATGACATATGGCTGCTTTTAGACGCAACAAAAAAGAAAGATGACCAGCTGTGTGGATTGCAGAATGAAAGCTTGTGAAGCACATTTACAGGAAAAAAAATAGAT